GGGTGGGCAGTGGGAACAGCCTTGCAGCCTTGTGGTGTCCAGTGCAGTAGGAGCTGGGAACTGACCAGGCTCTGATCCCTTCCCAAGGGATCTGCAGGCACCTTCCCTGCCCGGCTCTGCCAGAAGAGGGGAACGGTCTGCAGGGTCCCGTGGCCCGATGTGCCACCCCCTCCACGTGCCTCTGTCCCCTCTCCCAAGCCAGTTCTCTCTTGCAGACGACGAGGACAGTGACTACCACCAGGAGCCCTACGAGGAGTCCTACAAGGACCGGCGCCGCCGGGCGCACACGCAGGCCGAGCAGAAGCGCCGCGACGCCATCAAGGTACCGGGGCCCACACCTCCCCCTCTGCTGCTGGGAGGGGCTGGGGTTGGTCCCTCTGGGAGCAGCAGGACCCCCCAGCTGAGCCACACACACACTCCTGCCATCTCTGCTTCCCCACAGAAAGGCTACGATGACCTGCAGGCCATCGTGCCCACCTGCGAGCAGCAGGACTTCTCCATAGGCTCCCAGAAGCTGAGCAAGGCCATTGTTCTCCAGAAAAGTGAGTCTTCAGGATGGGGAGAGGGGAAGAGTCCTGTTACCCCCCCAGACGCCTGCCTAGAGCCCAGACCCTTTGGTGGGATGGTGCTCGGGGGGAGCCCAGTGCTGGTCACTCCACCCACCTACTGCCCCGAGGAGCTTCAGGGCAGCTGGGCCTGCCCAGGCTCAGGCACCTCCTGTGGGGATCTTGGGGGCTCAAGTGTGTGCTCAGATTCTCTTTATTTTTATTTCTGAAACCACTCTGGTCATGCTCAGCCATCGACTACATCCAGTTCCTGCATAAGGAAAAGAAGAAGCAAGAGGAGGAAGTTTCTACCCTCAGGAAAGATGTGATGGCCTTGAAGATCATGAAAGTGTAAGGGAAAAGCTGTTGGTTGCTGCCTTCTTCTTCCTGCTGTTCCTCACCCTTCTTTCAGGGCTCTGTGGGTACCTGCAGTGCTCTGCAGGCCCCAGAGCCTCGTGCCTGCCCCCCTGCCTGCTGCCACCATTTGTCCTCCTGTGGCTTGTTAGTGTAGGTCTGTATGGAGTCAGTTGGAGATCAGTGTGAAGATGGGTTTGAGCCAGAACACGTATCTGCTCCCAGTGCTGGGAGAGGCTGCAGCTTCCCCGTGTTCATGTACTTGGATCTTCCACAAACTCCCTGTCCCAGCAGAGGCTGCAGGGAGCTCTGCCCCAAGTGGGGCTGGGCTGCCAGGGGCCTTGCTGAGTGTGGGCACGTGGTTGGTTTCAGGAACTATGAGCAGATTGTGAAAGCTCATCAGGACAACCCGAATGAGGGGAAGGACCAGGTCTCTGATGAGGTGAAGTTCAATCTTTTCCAAGGCATCATGGATTCCCTGTTCCAGTCCTTCAACGCCTCCATCTCAGTAACAAGTTTTCAGGAGCTCTCGGCTTGTGTCTTCAGCTGGATTGAGGAGCACTGCAAGCCCCAGGTGAGCAGGAGCCATGGGAGGGAATGGGCAGGGACCACAGTGCATGTGCTGAAGAAACATGGGGAAGTGTGGCTGGAAAGTGTCTGACAGGAAAGGACCTGGGGGTTCTAATTGACAAGTGGCTGAATATGAGCCAGCAGTGTGTCCAGGTGGCCACGAAGGCCAGTGGCATCCTGGCTTGTCTTAGAAATAGTGTGACCAGCAGAAGTAGAGGGGTGATTGTCCCCCTGTCCTCAGCACTGGTGAGGCCACACCTGGAGTATTGTGTCCAGTTTTGGGCACCTCAATTCCAGAGAGATCTCGAGGTGTTGGAGTGAGGACAGAGGAGGCAATGAAGCTGGGGAGGGGCCTAGAGAATAAATCTGATGAAGAAGGTTTGAAGGAGCTGGGAATGTTTAGAGGAAGAGGAGGCTGAGGGGGGACCTCATCAGTCTCTACCACTACCTGAAAGGTCATAGTAGAGAGGTTGGTGCTGGTCTCTTTTCACAGGTAATTAGTGACAGAATGAGAGGGAAGGGCTTCAAGCTGCACTGGGGCAGGTTTAGACTGGACATGAGGAACAATTTTTTCACAGAAAGAGTGGTCAGACATTGGAACAGGCTGCCCAGGGAGGTGCTTGAGTCACCATCCCTGGGTGTGTTGAAGGATTGATTGGATGTGGTGTTGGTGGAAGTGGGTTAGGGGACAACTTTGTAGAGTAGGGATGATGGTTGGACTCGGTGATCCCAAGGGATCCAATGGTTCTGTGATTCTGTGGTGCTGAGGAGCAGGGTTGAGGCACTGGAGGTGGTAGAGTTGGGTCATGGTTGGACTTGGTGATCTCTTATGGTCTCTCCTCTGCTCAGACGCTGCGGGACATCGTGGTGGGGGTCCTGCACCAGCTGAAGAGCCAGCTTTACTGACCCTGCCCGGCGCTGGGGACGGGCAGGGCAGGGCTGGAGCTTCTGTTATTTATTGTATGAACCATGAAACCAAACGGCGGCTGCGCAGCCACCTCTGCCTGCAGGGGCTGCCACCACCACTGCTACCAAATATCTGTAGGGCCTTGGCAGGGGGGGACACGAGTGCTGAGGAGGGGGCTGCTCAGGGGCCAGGGGGCTTCTGGCACTGGGGCTTGCTGGGGCTGCTGCTGCTCCCTGGTGCAGCTGGAGGCTGTTGCTGTGTGCTGAGGAGACCCCGCTGCTTCTCGGGGGGGGGTGGGCCAGGGGCCTTGCAGCTGGGCAGGGGACAGAGAGCAAACCCCTGTGGCTGCACCTGTCCCAGGAGGAGGTGATGGACCTTTACAGACCTCACATGCAGAAGTAATGTATTTTTCTATTGTGAAAAAAACAACTAAATAAATTTTGCTGAATGTTTTGATCATTTTCCTGTGTTTATTTTAGTTGTGGTGTCCCTGGAGCCTGGTAGCAGGACCAGACACACAGCTCCAGCCCCCTGGGGCCCCTGCTTTCCCCCATTTCCAGGGCTGCTGCACCCCCCCACCCACCCCTGCCCCAACACCCTGAACAGAGGAACCAGCTGGGGCAGAGCCCACCTCAATGTGGGTTGGGTGTGGGAGGGGCCAGGGCCTCCTGACCATGCCTGGAACACAGGAAAGAGTCCCAGTTCATCCACCTGCTGAGGCAGTTGCTGCCGTTTGTCCCTGGGACCCTGAGGACTCTCCAGCCACAAACCAACACCTCCCCTGTCCCCCGTGAGGATCTGGGACAAGGAACATTCCCTCTACAGGCAGGGCAGCCAGGGGCTGGTGCCGAGTGACTCCCTCACCCACCCTCCCCAAAGCATCTTAAAACAATGTATAAATGTGCAGGACCAGCCCCAACTCTACGAAAGAGGCAAAAAAACCCCACAAGAACCAGCCCAACAGCAGAGCTCCAGCATCAGCTCCTCTGCCCTCCCCCTCACACGGCCGGTGGCAGCGCGACGCCCTGGTCCTCGTCGGTCTCGATCCCAACCTCCTCCTGAGGGAGCAGGGGAGCTGAGCTGGGGGCCTGAGCTGGGGGGGCTGAGCTGG